ATTAGACGGTAACTGAATAGGCGCATTAATTGCCATGTACTTAAGAGTAGAAATTCAGGAGTACCGGTTGGTATCATGATTCCAAGACCTCTTAAGCATGATAAATATTCTGAATAAGCACCTTCCACGTCGCCCTAAATTTAACGTATAATTAATTTAATGTTAATGATTATCTGAATTTGTATTTTACCTTATTAAACAATTCATCTCCATATTCTTTTCGTTTCCAAAAGTCAGCAGGAATGGTGCCTCGTAATGGATCCACATATCTTACAATTTTTATCAAGCAGGCCAAAACAATAAAAGAGTTAATTATCCACAAAGATATGGAGTAGCAGATGTTTTGGAGCATAAAAAAATTGTTGACATCTATATTAATAAAAAAAAAAATATTTCTCATACAGTAATGTTAATAAAGGCATATCAATTTTGCAAAAATATAAACCACTTAGAATTGAAGTGAATTCGAGAGTTTGTGTTATTCGCATTTTATTCTACAGCCAGTTTTCTGGTTATTCTGAAAATGTTATGAACGAAATATTGATACGTGTGTTCTATGATACATCCTAAAACCGAAATTCAAAACCAAATCTACGGCGCACTGTGAGAAATGAGCAGAATTCCAAAATTCAAATAGTCTAGAATTTTAAGGATGCGAATCAACTTAAAAAATTAATGCTGAAACCTTCCCACATACCATTACTATATGACTTTCTACAAACAATCTACAAAGATTTTGGTAAATATTTAATTAGTTCGATAACCATTCCATTCAAAAATGTTTAACATTACGCCCAAATTCATAAAAAATAAAGAAAACTTTAACTGCTTTATAAATCGAAAATTTGTATGAAAATGTCACTTTATAGAGCTCTATCATGATACAAAAATTAAGGTAGTTTCATTACTACTATTTTTTGATTATAAAGCAGATTTTTGACATTTCTCCAGATGTAAACATTAAGCATAGCTTTGCCACATACAAATTTTTTGAGGGGAGATTTTCTTTTAAATATTTGGGATTTAATAAACAGTAAAATTATATAAAAAATAGCAAGTTGATGTGTTCGATAATCAAATTAGAATGCTTTTCTCAAGAGATTAATGGATCCTTTGAATAATATCGATGTGCAGAGATAAAGAAATAAAATAAAATCCAGTTCTGAAACGTTTATTTATTAAATTATTTTCTTTCATTTTATTTTACACAAAATAAATATATTTACAGAACCAAACAAAACAAAATAAGACGCATTGTTAGATTTTTCGTCATTAAAGCACAGTGCGAAACCAGGCTTCGGAGAAGGTTGAATGGTCTCATTTCCCCCACAATTAAAGGAGCCAAAATTCAGAATTCTCCCGAAGTGAAGTATCTAGAAGTAATTCTGTATACAAAACTATTGTGGAAATCTAATGTGGTACACAAAACCTCTAAAGAATTGACAGCATTTTGGCAATGTAAACCCGTATGGTGGAGCAGATTCTCAATCAAGATCGTGGGAAGTCTGCTTGCGAACCTGCAAAGAACTACTGCCGTGTGCTGTACGGAAGCTTTCTCTACAACACGTGGCGCTGCTCTGGATGCACTGCTGCACTTACCGTCACTTTGTCTCTTCATACGTAGGGAAGCCTTAAAGGCCACATGTGGACTAGAAAGAAACGGATGCCGGTATAACACTCAGTTGGGCGAGGCGGAAATTGCTAGCGGCAGTGATCTGAGCACTTATGTCTTTCAATGCCACAGAATAGAACGCCACCACTACCTTTGTTTTAGAGA